TTTGGGTTATGTATTCTCCATTCAAGTTCACATCAGTGTGTGCACTAATACCTGACTCTATTTTAATTACCTCTCCCAGGAGGTTTTTGACTTTATGAATCTCACCATGGGTAACTGTTTTCACTATTGTTTGAACTACTATCTGTAACTTAATAACTTTCAAATCTCTTTCTTCGACCCAGAGATCTCTCATTCAACATAAATATAATGAATGCCTTCTACATATCAGACATTTGCTAAGAGTTAGGAGCCTCTTAAGTACTGATACTTAATAAAAATATAGTGGTCATTTATATTCATCATGGGTCACACCCCAATAATCTTGGCTACTACTTAAAAGAAAAGTGCCTGTGGTCATCTGTCTTCTGCTATACCCTGCTCTAACTTCCTTCCCCTCTCTTAACTAACAGACCTCGCTATCCCTCTGTTGTGCTGTATGGATAGTCAATTCCATAACTACCACAGTCCTCTACATCCTCCAACTTTTCACTGAATATTTTCTGCATCTTAGATCTCAACATAAACATTGTTTTTTTCTTTTGTGAATTTGACTTATCCTAACCCTTTCAAAAAACTTCTTTATTTTATTATATCTTATGTACTTTGGTATTCAGAAGTAAGTTTGCTATCCAACATTTCTTTCACTGCTATTCCAAATAACCATTTCTTCATAGGTCTGTAAAAAATCCAGCTTCACTGAGACACTGGCAGCATCACTCACTATCTAGCACATCCTTGTTAACTCCTGACCATGACCCTTATTCACTGAGGAAATTAAGACCTTGGCTTCTCCTCTCTACATTAAGTCCTATCATCATTTTGTGTCTTCAGAAGAGTTTATAGATTTATTGATTTATTGCACAAAAAATATCCTAAACATAGTGACATAAAATAATAAAAATATTTGTTATCTATTATATCTTATAGGAGGCAGGGATTTAAGAGTAGCTTAATGAGTAGTTCTGGATTATAGCCTTTCCGGAGGTTAAAATCAAGATGTATTCCAAGACTGTGGTCATTTGAAGGCTTTTGGGGCTGGCAGATCCACTCCCAAGGTGGCTTGCTCACATGATTGATTGGCAAATTGGTGCTGGCTGTTGGCAAGCAGGGACTTTTGAGTGTCCTTGTGACATGGTAGCTCTCTCCAAACTAGTATTTAAACAGGTCAAAGCAAAGGCCACTTGTCTTTTATAACCTAAC